TGTGAGTAGGGAAGGTCCCTCTAAATTTTCAGCTTCCTAGCTTTTGTGGTTTCCGAATTGGAAGTTGCGGATAAGTTGCTGCGGAAACACACACACATATATAACGCACACAGACAACCCCGTGACACTGTGCGCTTTGTACTGCTGTTACACAGCACAAAACGCATAAAAACTAAGGAAAAATAAAAAAAATGCTGAGAAAAATAGAAATGAAAAATAAAAGTAGTAGAATCAGTTTGAACTGGTTGAGGTATGGCTCGCCACTGTGCCTTACTTTCCTCATATTTTTCAGCTTAAATTAAACTTAGGGTTTCAAAGCACTGGCATTTTTCAGAATGCGAAAAATCGTTTGCTGAATTTAAAAGATGGAAGTGCTGTGAACCAAGACGCGGCGTTAGTCGTTGTTCAGCCGTTTCTCTATCGAATCAGTGAATGTTGGTTTGACACTGCTCTTTTATTAGCACAGGTACCTAAATTTCTGTTTTTATGCTTACTTTCGCTTACTAAACTTTCTTTAGTTTTTCCAACGCAAGTTAACCCTTCAGCTGCAGTGAAGTGGAATTATCAATATCTTTTATTTAACAGGGAATGAATTAAAAATAGATTACCACAACGATATATCACTGCAAAAAAAAGTTAAGTCTTAATTGGCCATTTGGAAACGCTAACTGGCATAGCTGTCGATAGCTTCCTCTTTTTAAGGTTACTGATCTCCCAGGCTTGCACCAGCACGTGTTTGCGATCAAAACAAATGAAGTAATCGTAGAAGTTATTAGTCAAATCGAAGCTTCGAACATTTAACATAGGAGTGATGCCATTTGCCTGCCCAGTTGGAAAAATAGGAAAAATAAGAAATGCACTATGGGGAAATAGGGCAGATAATTACAGAATGTGATGACAAAAGAGTGGATATCAGTAGTGATGTTGCAGGTAGGAAGCATTGAAGTTGCCGTTTTTACACAGTCAACACAGGTTGATAGCGATGTGATCGCCGTACTTCAGGTCATTTGATTTCTTTCTTAATATTTATATAAACTTTTAGTTAAGATGCCGTATCTATTCATCTCATTTTTTAAAAATATGTTTTTTATATTGTATATACGGCATTATTCATGTATTCATACTGTGCATAATAAAACTGAGAAGTCTGTTTTATAATTGCATACTTTAGTCTTATTTCTTAAATCGTCAATTGCTGACTTCCCTTGTATCCATGCCTTTATCGCGACGAATTTTTCAGTTCTGACGCACTAGTACTGGCCCACTGACAGTAATCTTTTTTTAATGCTAGCTGGAAAATAATTCTTTGTAGAAACATACGCCAAAGGATTATCCAACTGAAGAATTCACCACAACAGTTGGATATGCATATGCTGAATTGTACGGCGTTGATCCGGACGACTGGCAGCGAGGCCTTCTTTCGTTTTCTTCTTCCGAACTTTACCGCGCAGCAGCTGTTGCACTAGCTACCAATCTCAAACGGATATTGTTAAGGAAAACTTCCAAACAGCATTAACACTGGCTCATTAACAATTTATGGCTGTGATATTTCTGGTGATTTTTTTTGCTTTGAAATGGATTTTTAACTTTCTTTGATTTGGGTGGATTTTTTCGGTTTAAAAGAACTCGACGATTTTATTAACATTTAATTGAAGACCCACATAGTCTTTCAGTTTTGTGTTAAATTTTGTTCAGCGGCCATCGATGCAAATAACAGCGTTTTAGTAGTTGCTGCGATTATGGTTGCATTACCTGGTGCGTACCATGCCCGGTGATTTTGGTGTTAATTTTCCTGCTCTCCTTGTTGCATTCTAAGAGGGGAATTCCATATGTAGATCATTTCTTCTGCTGGTTGTTTGGTTTTTCAATTTTCTTGCGGTCAACCGTAAATTTTTGGTGGAAGCGACAAAGAGTTATTTGTATAAACATTCACAAGGACGCCAAACTTATAGTAATGAAATTGAACGCATGCGGTTCCCTTTTTTGCGCTGCATGAAGAAGCGAACAGGGAAGAGCGTCTGTTTCTGGCGGTGAAATTAGTGCGTGTAAAGTACTTG